TGCTGCACTGCCCTGCAGGAAGCAGCCCTGGCAGCACCCCCAGTTCTGCACCACTTGCTCTTCACTGCACCCCTCCCATCTCTGCTCCTCCTCTCGCCCCTGGCCCCCCAGACAGCACCAGGACATCCCAAACATATGGCATCTGTTTACGTGTTCAAAGTGCTGCTGTGGGCTCAGGGCCATGCACCAACATGGCCTGTCCCAGCTCTCCAGGGACATGGGAGCTGCCAGTGCCCTGAGACAGCCCAGCAGCACTGAGCTCTGTGGGACTGAGGATCCCCAGACCCAGCACCCATCCTGAGAGATGCAGCTGCCGGTTTCCAAATAACCTCAACTGCTTTCAGCACCCTCTTCCAAGTTTAGGCGCAGCTCTACCCCCTTGTCACCTCCCCCTCTTATTTATAGCCTGGCAGCCTGTGAGGAGGTGTTGAGTGTCCCCCCTCCCTCACTCCCTGTCCTGTCCTGCAGCCACAAGGGGCACAGCAAGAGGCACTACTGAATTAAAAACAATTTTAATGGCCACATTTGCTTTGGTCTGAATCCAAGGACACTTGTGACAAGGCAATTCATAGCCCCTAGGGCACAGGTGGCTCTGGGGTTTCCAGCTGAGGGGCTGCAGGCACCAAGCAGCAGAAGGCAGAGCCTGGATCCAGGTGCCTGCACCCCACACCCAGCACTGTCCAGAGGGTACAGGTGGGGCAAGGAACACAGTAGAACTTCGTCCCTGTGAGAGGCACAGGTCTGTGGCCCTGGCAGGGCTGAGCATTTCTGCCCCATGTCCTGCTGGAGTCCAGCAGCACGTCTAATCCTGCATTAAATATTCCTCCTAGTAGAGAGAGCAGAAAACCAGGTCTCCCTGGCTCCATCCAGGCAGACATTTGGAGCTGGTGGGGCTGCATGGGTCCAGCTCATGCCCACCATGTACCAACAGGGGGTTCCCAGCCCCTCCACCAGCTGGGAAACAGGCACTGCTGTGCAGAGACGGAGACTCCCTGCTCCAGGGCTTGGCAGGAGGTGTTCAGCCGTGCCACCGGCAGAGCTGGGACGTGTTGCTGCAGGAGGAGAGCTGCCCTGCGCCGAGGTTCCTGCCGCCTCACGCCGTGGCAGCGCCCTACCTGCCTGCCCAGGATGGGTGGTTGAAGACAATGTTCCCCCTCTTGGCCCAGCGGGAGAAGATGGCTTTCTCGGTGATGAAGCGGTGCCCGGCGCGCCGAGCCTGCTCGTGCGTCAGGTACATCCTGCACTCGTCCAGCCTGCCCTTCTCAAAGTAGTGGTACGGCACGCTGGAGTGGTTCTTTTCCCTGGCAGGAGGGCACAGGGTGAGTGTGGGACTTGGGGGGACACCAGAGCACCCCACACCTGCCCCTGCCAGCCCCACACACCTGCAGTAGCTGTCGCTGACCATGCCAAAGACACAGATCTGCTCGCACAGCTCCATGGCCAGGATCATGGTGAACCAGCCCGTGCTCAGGAAGGAGCCGGATTTCATCCTGAAAGGCATCGTGGTCACACTGGAGTGGGTGGCACCACCCGGGTGGTAGTGCCACCACTACGGGTGCTTGATGGGGGACCCAATGAGACCTCCTGACCTCAGGAACCAGCAGTACCTGTTCTTCCCTGTCTCATTCTGGAAAACATCGTCACAGTATGTCATCTTCTCCTCGGTCAGGGTGTAGATCTGCAGCTGGGGGTACTTCTCCATCACCTTGACCAGAGCCTGGTAGGTTGAGCCCATCTTCTCCCTGCTCATCTTTTTTGCTGGCCCCCAGATGAAGTAAAGGGTCTCCTGGGACTGCTGGAAGAAGTAGGGCTGGTTGCCCAGCAGCAGGGGGACGCTGGTGTGTGAGACCACCCGGATGGTGCTACGGGCCCCCACGTCCTGCTCGTAGCCGGCGGTGGGGGCATGGTTCATGCGCAGGA